GGTTGAGGGTTTGGGGTTGGGGGTTGAGGGTTTAGGATTGAGGGTTGAGGGTTTAGGGTTGGGGGTTTAGGGTTTAGGATTGAGGGTTGAGGGTTTGGGGTTGGGGGTTTAGGGTTTAGGGTTGAGGGTGTAGGGTTTGGGGTTGGAGGTTTAGGGTTTAGGATTGAGGGTTGAGGGTTTGGGGTTGGGGGTTTAGGGTTTAGGGTTGAGGGTGTAGGGTTTGGGGTTGGAGGTTTAGGGAGTAGTAATAGTAGTAATAGTAGTAATAGTAGTAATAGTAGTAATAGTAGTAATAGTAGTAATAGTAGCAAAAAAGTAATAATAAGTAATAGCAGTAAAAATAGTAAAAATAATAATATTAATAATAGTAGTAATAATAGTAAAAATAGTAATAATAGAAAGGGGTTGAGGGTCCAGGGTTTAGGGTTTGGGGTTGGAGGTTTAGGGTTTAGGGGAGAGGGTGTAGGCTTGAGGGTTTAGGCGTGCTTTGAAGCTCCCTGCAGTTACGCTAATTAGCTGTTGGGCGAGTAGGGCAAAGAGCCCATCAATCCTGACCCCCAAACCCGGCCCAACCCCTTAACTTAGGGTTTAGGGTGTAGGGTTTAGGGTTTAGGGTTTAGGGTACCCTAAACCCTAAACCCTAAACCCTAAACCCTGACCCCTAAACCCTGTGCTCGGGATTGACAGTCCCTCCGTCCCTGCGGACCCCTCCTTCACTGATGACGGCTGTCGCACCCTCGCTGGGTGCGTTGTGCAAACGCTGGGCAAAGGCACCTGGGCAGAACAAAGCACAAGTCTCGGGGGCACATCAGGGCCTAGGACCTAACACTTTAGACCCTAACCCCAACCTTCAGGCCTGAACAACGATTCAACTTTTAGACCTAAACCCCAAACCCTAAACCCTAAACCCTAAACCCTAAACCCGAAGCCCTAAACCCTAAACCTTAAGGGTTAGGGTTTCGGGTTGATGGCTTCGGCTTTAGGGCTGAGTCTTTGCAAAGTGACTTCAGGAAATCCCGTGACGATGACAGAACCATGGAACAACGCAAACGGATCACGCATAAAACTCAACAAAAGGGCTCAGGGCTTAGGGTAGGGGCCTTAAAAATAGAAGAGGGGTTGGGGGAATAGTATACTTATAACTATATCAAGCAACCCCCAAAACCCTATTCTATTTATTCAGGCCCCTACATGTCGGGCTTACTTTAGGGGAACCCAGCGCGATTCAGAGTCTGAAGGGCTTGCATCACCTGGCCTCAGGGAGTTGCTAAGAGGCTCCTTTGACTAAGCAAGTCTCCTTGGCATCAGAGTCCGTAGAAGCCATCTCCCTAAGCATACTTACTAAGTCAGCAAATCTTGCACAATGGATTCAGGGTTTAGGGTCTACTTGGAGGTTCATGGGTAGTTATAAGTGGACTTATAAGTAGGGTAGCTATAGTTATAACCTATATTCGGGAACTCAAAACTCCACTTACAACTACCCATGAACCTCCAAGTATGACCCCTTATAGACCCCTTTAGAGGAGCCCTCTTATAGAACCCTTTTTCGATCCCTTAAAGGAGCCTCAGAGCTTAAGTGAACGCAGGATTGGCCCTCCAAGATGATTGGAAACTTCATCATGTGGGTGCGAAGGATGCAGTATCTCACCTCTTTACCAACCCTAAACCCTAAACCCTAAGCCCTAAACAGAGCCACGGTTTAGGGTTTAGGGTTCAAGGTTTAGGGTTTAGGGTTTAGGGTAAGCCCCTTTAGAAACGCCAAAGGCGAAACCAGAGCATGGCGAAGTGCACCCACACCCAAAGCCTGCTGACCGGGGCCCTTGTTTCTAAGATCTGCTCTGTCGTGGTTCAGTCAAGAGGCATAATGTAGGGGCCTTAGTACTTAGAATAGGGTTTTGGGGCCCATTATACCATAATTATAATAAGGAACCCGCATAATAGCACAGGTAAATATTAAGGCTCCCAAGCCATAAAAACCCACCAAAAGCAAAGGAAAGACAACTGCGGCGGAGGCGCAGACCCAGTAGGGCGAAGCTTCGTTGAGGCTTCTGGCCGCTACGTGGCCTCAGCTTTTAACCCAGAGGCTCCAATATCCCTTTATTCAGGAACATACCTTAAATCATATTTGGGATCCTACTATAATTTAAGGTATATTCCTTAATTAAGGGATATTGGAGTCTCTGGGAAGGTCCCGAAAACTCCAAAAGTGCCCAAATCCAAGATTAGGCATTAGGGTTTGGGGGTTTCGGGGCTGAGGGTTTTGAGTTTAGGGTGTGGGGTTCAGGGCCCAAAACACCTCAACTTCAGCGCTAAAACAAAAACAAACATGAAGTGGAAGCCAAAAACCCTATCCCCAAAGGACGGAGCCGAGGATCTTTGCACGCAGGCCATGAAATCCACGTAACCTGGGCCATGGTCCCTGATTTAAGGGGGTTTCGGGTTTAGGGTAAAGGGTAGCGGGTATACAAGGCTTCTTTCAAGGATCCGATCTACAGGCGCAGGACTTTGGGTTTTGGTTTAGAATTTGGGGTATCGCATGATAGAGTAAATGGTAAATGAAATGCGGTTTAGGTTCCATCACAAGCGGGCTAGTTAGTGACCCTAAACCCCGAGCCCTCAAGGTCCAGAGCCCTTAAGCCTTCAAAGCCCCTGGCAACACCCTCATCCTTGACCCTGAAGTCCCAAATCCAGGGTTTGAGGGGCTCGTCTTATAGCTCATGGCGGGAACCGAAAGGCGGAGGACAAAAGGCTGCAGAAGACTTAGTAAGGGTTTTTTTAGGATTTCGAGCTTAGGGTTTTTGAAGTTTAGACTTTATCATAGGCTTACATATAAGTTCAACGACGGTCTAGCGGTTGAGATTCAGTAGGGTTTAGGACTTCGGGCTTTGTAAGGTTTAGGGCCTGCGATCGTGGCCTGCGTTTAGGGTTTAGGGTGTACGCAGCAAAGCTTGTACTAGTTTGTACTACTAACATCCCATCCGACAAGACAAACAAGACATACACTCACCAAGATTCCTAAGAACCCCATACATACATACATACATACATACATACATACATATATATATATATATATACAAACTTCCCTCTCACAAGATCTCAGCACTCCTTTTCCGTCCACGACCAGAGAGCACGGCCCTGAGTGCATTGGAAAACGTGGGCCTTTAAAGGCGCAATGCCAGCTATGGATGGCATTTGACATCCAAGGTCCAGGAGCAATCCAAGGTAGCATTCCAATGTTCCAGGGCAGACGGGACAGCAGTCATGTCGAGTCGTAGAAGAGCGGGCCACGGCAGGCACGGCTGGGTGCGGAGCGACCAACCTTGCTTGGTAGTCCACTCGTCGAGAGCTCCATCTCTGCTCAAACCATCGGCAGGGTTATCATCCGAGGGGACCCACTCCAGCCACACCCTGCAGGATAAGTGAGCCCAGAACAAGTGGAGGCACAGCAGGACGAGTGAAATGTCATCCTCGGAGCACGCACCCTTGATCAAGGAGGAAACCACCGCCTGATTGTCGACGAACAGGACCACATCCTGACAACGAAGATTGAGGTGGCAGAAGGCGGCGAAAGCTTGTAGGATAGCAAGGGCTTCCAACGGCATGATTTGAGTCTGGCGGTCCGAAAGGACGGCCAGGATCTCCTCCGTGACAGACGATGCTCCACCCAAGCACTGGGAAAAGTCGGGATGCATCAGGACGTAGCCCAAGCCGGGCCGCTGCATACATTTTGGTTCCCAGCTGGCATCTGTATAGATGACAACGGGCCTCCGACAAAGGCTCGCCAGGTGTATCACGCGAGGTTGAACAAGCTGCAGGAGACTGAGGTAGAACTCGAGGGATCTGCGCAAAGCGGCGGTCAGGGCAGGAGGCTCAGACGCATATTGGCGCTGGACGAGAGGTGCCTGTCCCCCACGGCCACATCGTCCATACATGGAGCAGGACGCCCACCCCAAACGGCCCCGCAACTTAGCGGCTTCAGCACTGGAAAGAGAATCGCATTCGAGGATACGGCGAATCTCGCTTGACAGGTCCTCAGCAAGGCCTTCCTTAAGACAAACCCTCATTTCGGCCTGAGATTGCACTGCAGAGAGGTCCAGAAGTACACCCAAGAAGTGTCGCTGGACGGCCATGGGCGTGCGCTTGTTGAAATCAAGGCTGAGGCCAGCACACTTGTATGAGCACAGCAGTAAGGCTTGGCCGGAAGCACGAGAGCAGGCAAAGTCGAGTGTGCCACTGTCATCAAAGTAGTTTGTACAGCAAACTCCTCCGGCCCCGCGGGCCCAAGCTGCAAGCAGCAGCGGCACACGGTTGAAGTTGAGCACAGCGGAGGCGAGCCCATATGGGTGTGCACGGAGCTTGGCAAAGCGCAGCTCAGAGTGGTCCTCGTCAAAGTAGGCTATGATCATAGCTTGCTGCTCCAGCGGGGAGTTTGGGATCTGCCTGTAGGCCGCAGACATATCATCGGTGCCGAACAGAGGAAGAGCCCACTCTGGAATCTCATTCTCGTCTTGAAGCAGAAGCTCCAGGAGCACACCACAAGCGGCAGCAACGAAGTCAGGGCTGGTAGTGTATATGGTTTCTTCCAGGAAACTCGCCATGTTGTGACCCGAGAAGCGGCCGTCATCAATGGCGCGGAGTTTGGAGCTCTGAGGCAACATGAAGCGGCGCATGGGAATCCACTGCCCACGACCATATTGGCGGTCAAGGTCGGCGCGGCTGTAAGGACCATCCGCAAGGCCTTGTTCAATCTCCTCAGCTGTGAACGAACGAGCTTCCTTGGCAAAGGGGAAGCGGGGCAGACTGCACTCAAGCTTGTCAACAGTTCGCACAGCATGGGAACCCAGCAAGGCGGGGAGGCCCAATTCTGCAGGCGGGTCGGGGCTGACGTCCTTGAAGAGGCCCGGGCACTCAACAACACCGAGGCATTTGAAGCCGGTCACAAAGCGAAGGCCAACGCTCGTGTCAGGCCAACGCATGAGCGCAGAGATGCAGGAGAGAAAGGCCGGGCAGCGGGCCGAGGCCATCTTGGCAACGTCAGCAGGCATGAGCTTGCGAAGGCACGTGTCCCAGGGCTGCAGAAACTTGGCAACAGTTTGCATAGCACGCTGCTGCTGCTGGCGCCAAACGCGTATGCACGGCCCCAGGGTGCACATGATCCAGCAGGCAAAGCGAGCATCATCATCAACCTCACCTGAAACGTCGTATGGACTAGGCAGGCAAGTGGAAAGCTTCATGTGCAGGTCCTTGCCGACGTCCAGAGGCAGCAACGGAACCGAGGCAAGTTTGGATCCTGGGCCTCCGGACTGCACGCCGAGGGCCTGTTTAGAGGCTTGCAAGTGACGCTGTTGTCTCCATTCGGGGCCTTGGGGTTCAGACTTGAGGCCCCGCAGCTGAGTATCAACCCAGTAGGCCTGGAGACGGGCAAGGGCTAGGTTCACCTCCGGTGTAGCTTGCAAGGGCGGAAGCAGCACGCCGAAGTCCTGAAAACTGGATCTCAACAGAGGGCTAAGCTGGGCCCATTGCAGGGTGCCGGGGAAATCGTCAACCAGACCTGGATGAAGGCAGGTGTCGAAGGCATGCATCCTGACATGTTTCTCAAGACCGACATCACCATCAGCGCCAACATGCAGGAGGGGACATGAAAGCTGTTGCCCACTAAGGATGAGCGGACCTGCTCCTTACACGCGTCATCCACCTCATGGCCTTGCTTGGCTGGGGCCCAGTGCAAGAGGGCCGGCGGGATACCCATGATCTGGGCACGCTCAGAGCTGGAAGGGACCCGCCACTCGGAACCGCGCCATAGCAAGGCAGGTTCAGCATAGCAGAACAGCGGGTAACGGCAGCCATCATCACGGAATCGCTGCAGGGTAGCTCGGTCAGACAAGGGGCCCTGGTCAGGTGGGTGACGAAAGCTTCGCGTGAACACAGGAAAGCATGGCATGTCCTGGGCCGAGGCTGCATTGTTTGCCGGCGAGAAGGGCTGGAAGCCATCAGAGAAGGCCACTGCCGGCGGCCAGGGCTTCTTGTCTTGCCACCGGACGTGCCAGCCAGACTGTCCTCGCTCGGATTTGGCTTGCTTAGGGAGGGCCAAGGCTGGGAGCTGGGAGACAGACCGTCTACCATCATTGCACCAGAAGAGACGTTTGCGGTCAACCCAACCAAAGGAAGCAGCTGAGACGGCCAGGGGCGGCCCAAGCATACTCTGAGTAACAGCATCAGAGAAGTCACGGGAGCAGCTTGCGACATTCTCTAGCATTGCGAGAACTGGAGTATTGCTGGCGGCTTCAAGAAGAATGACTGAAGTCCGCGGCGACCCTTATTGAGGGAGCTGACGTCCTGGCACGGGCTGCCTCCTGCAACCAACACAGCGGAAAAGCGCTTGGACAGCAAGAGTGGCTTCAGGGAGTCACGGTCGAAGTCACGGTCGTCTCCCATGCACCGCACATGACGAAAGCACTTCCTGACAACTTGACACGCGTCAGGATCGGTCTCCCACGTGAGCGCAGCAAAGGTAGCACCCATGGCCAGCAGGGCAACAAGTAGGGAACCGATGCCATCGAAGAGGCTAAGGACCAAGAGAGGCCCATGCCACGGGAGGGCCCACGCGAGCTGAGGCAAGGGGGACACCGCATTGTAGGTGACCCAACGCAGATCACCAATAGCAGTCATCGGCCGAGACCTTGAGTGAAAGGCTGAAACGCTGGGACGGCGCACCACGGTAACTGCACGGGAGGGGGCTCCAGCCAGGAGGCGAGCCTGACATTTGGTCACTGCCTCAGAACAAGCATCGTGTGAGTCAAGTGCAACGGAACGATGGCTCTGCACAGCGGTTACCACACGGCCAGCCGGGTCCCTGGGCTCAGGGTGTTGCAGCCCGACATGGCGCGCAGGTGAACCAACACTGGTGGGAGAGCCTGGAAGGGGAAACCCCAGCTGCTCGAGTTCAAGGCGTATGGCTGGGTCGGCATCATGCACGCGCAAGTGGGTGTAGCAGTTGACCGACCAACGCTCGCCCTGCCATGACGCTGTAGCATGCAGCCTAAAAGGGTGGAACTGCAGGAAGCTGTCATGGTTGTCGAATAGGCGTGCTGCGATTGGCTCAGCTGAGTGGTCATCGGTGGGCATCCGGGCATCACCATCGTCACATGCGAGAAGGAGGCCTCCCCCCCGGAAGTTGCCCAGAGCCACGGAAACGTTGAGGCTGTCCGGGCAATTGCAAGCATCAGTGTGGGTCTGCACCGGCACATTGTGGTTGACTGCCATAGACGACCAAGTGGCAAAAGGCAGGGCGGCCCGAAACCAGTTATTGAGCTGCATGACTAGCTGAGGGCGCTTGCGGGCCGTGACCGTGACCCCGGTGCCTGTGCTGCTACTGTAGAAGCCCAAAACAAAGTAGTCTGCCTGGGCTGCAGGACCGAGCACAGCGGGGCGCGCATTACGGTTCCCGGGCCAGAGGGACTCACGTCACCCGGGCGGCCAGACCATCACTTGTGAGGGCAGTTGCGTCTGGTGTGCTTAGGCGAGGCGCAGCAGGTGCCGTCCGGGAGCATAACGTCACAGACGTGGGCTTTATTGCACTTGCCCTCACATCCTCTCTGGTCATTGTACTTCTTGCAGATCTCCTTTCCGTTGAAGGTTCGGGCCGTACGCAGCTTCTTCTCCGGAGAGGAACCAGGGGACGCCTCCTCGGAATGGCGCTTTGCCTGGGGAACGTTCCAACGAAGTTCTTGTTCAGACCAGGACTTCTCGAGAGCTTCTCCTTGTGGCCACCCTTGTCGAACAAGTTCGATCATGCGAGCACGAGTGGCCTCGTCACGGCTCCTGACAAAGTCGAGCAACTGGGAGTAGCCAAGCTCGGTAGTGGAGGCCACGTGGAGCACCTGGTCACAGTAGCCGAGGTTCGCGCTGAGCGGTGCAAACACAACATCCGTGCCAGGGCTGGCCTTGCTGGGACATTTGTGCTGGCCGACGATGGCGTAGCCGTAGGCGAGGATGCGAAGACCGCGGTAATAGTCCAGCACGTTGCGGATCGGCACGGTCTCGTCCTTGTTCAACTGCAGCTGCACCTTCTCAGACAGGACGATGCGGGTGTCACTGGAGGGCTTGCTCGACCAATACAGCGACCTGACCTTAGAGATGGAGATCACCGTGGGGGCCATGCGCTGACACTCCCGGAAGAGACGTCCAAGAAGAGTGTCCCCCGGCATATAGTGCACGTCGATGCTGAGGTTGTAGGAGGCCTTGAACTGCTGCAGGAGCGTCTCTTGAGTCGAGGGCTCGAGCGCAACGTCCAACTCCTCAACTGGTTCACCTTGTTGGCGACGGTGCTCCTGGCGCAGAAGGATGGTTCTGACCGCACGCCAGGCCGCCCTAGCACGGGAGAGCTGCAGTGGCTGGTCCTTAGTGTCCGCGCAGTTGTCGGTGAGGACGGTCTTGAGCTCCTGCTCATAGTCCTTAATCGTGACGATGTTGACAAAGTCCTCCAGGGAGGCCATCTTGAGGTCGCCAACACAGTACTGAATGAAGGAGTCGGGCAGCCGAGCATCCTGAAGGCAGCGGCGTAGGGCATCCTGTTGCGCTTTGGCCATGGCGGCGACACACGTATCCTGTCTCGGACAAAAGCTGCAGAGGGACGGCATGCAAGGCTCGCGCGGCTCCCGGACTGCAACACACTCAAGTCAAGGCTCGAGCGGGAGAACAGCAGGCATTTTTGCAAGCGTACCGCACGATTCTCAGAGCCAGAAGACCCCTATGGTCCAGGCCTGAGTTATAGCTATGTTCCAGCTGAGGGAACGGTCAGCAGCCTTACCGCTCACCTCGGAAGCAGGCCATGCACCTATGTCCTCTATGGACAGACTTGCGGTTGCAGAAACCGTGCAGGCACGTAGTGCAGGGGATTCCACATGACAGGTCAGTCCTGCGAGTCCTCATGTCTGGCGGTGTAGACGGTTGAGGAGGCACCGGGGCTCGCAGATGCTTCGGCAGCTTGCGATGCCTGTCCCGACCCACTCGAGAATGAGGAGGCCTGAGTAGAAGGCTCCGGCCTCCAAGCATGGAGGTTGTCGTCAGGATCCCGCCTTTGATTGTACCGGAGGCACGTAGTAGGCGGCGGGATATCTCTGCGCACGTCGGGGGAGTTGACAACGTCGCGGATGATCTGCACCAGGTGGGGCGGCAGGGACAACAGGATCTGCGTGATGATGCCTCGGGTCGCCGAAGGTGTCTGGCCCATGGCTTACAAGGGAGGGGGTAAGGGCAGGGGGAATCGGCCGAACGCTGGAGCACAGAGCTCAGCGCAACCGTAAGTTGTCAAGGCATGCCGATACAGAGATCAAGGCACCATACTGTAGCGATAGGGCAGCAGGGGGTCATTTTTAACCACCGCGGAACTGCTTAACATAGTCAGGAGCGCGGGCGAGACACTTACGGCACACATTGTCCGAAGCTTCAAGCCCCGAGCCTCGCTCCACATGAGGGCCCTCAAAGGGAACGTCTTGACAATAGGGAATAAATCTCGGGCCCGACATCCCCTGCACAAGATGAAGGGCTCCCCGAGAAGACTGTCGAAACCATGCAGCAAGCTCAGCCTCGGATTCCTCGTCATCGGAGTCACCGGAGGTAGAAGACGCCGAGGAGCTGGAGGAGTCTGCCTTAGCTGGCACCGGGCGAGGCTTAGCAGCATATCCATGCCAACGCTCGGCTCGGACCAGCTCTGCAGTCTCGTCTGCCGAGGGCGCGTTCATGCGCCGATCATTCCAGGTGATGTCCATGCCGCACTTGCTGCAAACTGCATCTACGCAGACCACAACCTGAAGCTTGACGAAACCAGCAGCGAGCACTCGATCATGTGCATACCTGACAGCCATGCTGTTTGGTGCAGCACGGTGTTTGGGCGCAGCAACGAGCTGAGGCTTCTCCTGCCAGTCACCAATGGCCACCTTGCTTTCTTCAGGCATCTGTAATGAGTCGGCACATGTGGGCAGGAACCTCCGGAGTGAGTAACTCGTAAAGGAACCCACCGCATCAGGCGGTATGCCCAGGGTCAGAAGCAGCGAGCGCAGGAGCTCACAGAAGCGCGGCAGTCCCATAGGCCGAAAGCATCGCTTGGTAGAGGCCGTCAAGGCTTCACCTGAGCGCAGGTTATAGTCAGTGACAACAAAATCGGCCGAATCCCCCATGGCGGTCTGAAGTTCACCGTAGTCCAGGAGGATCTGCTGTGCCAAATCCAAACCGAAAGGAAGCTGGCTCGGGCAGGCCCAATCAAAGGGAGGCCTGGTCTGCTGGACCCGGCGCTTTCCTTTCTTGCAGGTTCCACGCAGGAAACCCGAGTCAATATGAAGCCGGAAGCTGCACTGCAAGTGGCGAAAACGTAAGCAAGCTACCAAAGTTAACAAAGCATGGCACATAAAGGTGCGAACAGAGCCGGTGGCCGCCGTGGCTGCCTTGCAGAGGCACAGGAAGATGCATAAAGGGATCGGATCTCGACCAACGGCTTTGTGACCCTGTGCTGGGGCCGCCCAGTGGCTTACCAAGGCATCATCGAGGCAGAAGGGAAGACCCACTTTGTCTCTCCAGAACTTAAGGGCAGCAAAGGCAGCACTAGCTGCAGTAGGCCCACCTCGGCTGACGGCCTGGAAGTAGCTGCTCAATGTAAGTGCAGAAGGCTGCCAGAAGGGCTGATCTCGGGGTGCATGTTGCGAATGCCACTTATACCAGCGACGAAGGGCCGAGCGGAGTGCCACCAGTCGTTCGTCAGAGACCGCCTGAAACTTTCGAAAGAATAACGGCTTGGCCTCATCCTGACGCATACCCAGCTCGCGGCCGAAGGCACAGTTATTCGAACCAACTTGCACCGCAACCTGAAACATGGCATCCAGGCAATCGGCTCGGCGGTCAGACGTCTTGCCACTGGCCCCTGCTGCTGGAATTGCCTGCGAAATAACATGTCGGAATGGCCTCGGGGCAATAGCAGCTGGGGGAAACAGACGCGCTTTGGGTCTGGTTGTAAGGAGAGCAGCCACACTAGGCACGGCTGGAAGAGGCGCCATGGGAACGCACGCAGCAGGAGGCCTCTGCTCCGCTGCTTTGCACTGCACCAGGGCCACACGCCAGGCACTGGTGATGCACTGCAAGGTCGCCTCATCGGCGGTGATCTCCAGCAAGTCCGTAGCCGAAAGATGGCCGAAGTCAGCAAGAGATATCACGCCGAATGCCTGAAGGGCTTCAGAAGCTGCCGGCGAGAGCACACGCTGAACAACGGGAGGGAGATCCATGGCTCCCCCGGCGCAGCATGCTAAGCCTGAACTCAAAATTTCACAGGCACCTGCTCGCTCGAACCGGCAGCTGCCAATGTCTCCAAGTTTGTTGGAGCAACATGCCTACCCCACCATCCAAAATGTTGCATACAAATTATACATACTATATATATATATATATACACATATGCACTCACCAAAAGAAACAACAGCCTAAGACCTAAAGCCGTCTCTAGCCCTGGATCCTAACACCCGGATATCCCCAACGCCCCCACTTTTGGGGGCCTTAACAACTAGAATAGGGTTTTGGAGGCTCCTTATTTCAATTATAGTATACTTGGAGGCTCATGGGTAGTTATAAGTAGGGTTATAAGTAGGGTAACTATAGTTTTAAGCTATATTGGGGGACTTATAACTCCACTTATCACTACCCATGAACCTCCAAGTAATATATCACAAACCCCTATTCGAATTATTAGGGCCCCTATGTTGAACCCTGAAGCCTTCATAACAGCTCCAGGTCGTCTGACTTTGATTCCACGGAACCACGGTTTAGGGTTTAGGACCCAAGGAAACCTTGCAGAGACGCTACAAAACACCAACTACTGTTGATGGACACAATTCTGCATGACCCGAATATAGTATAGTACCATAAATCCCATAGTTTAGGTATATAGGGTCATGCAGGATTTTGTCCCATCAGCCGTAGCACTCAAAACGCCGCCGCACTGGAGCCCTTTTGTTTCAACTTTCAGGCCTCCGAGGCCCTCGTCCCGAGGAGACACCCAAAACCCTACGTGGGTTTAGGGTTTAGGGTTTAGGGTTTAGGGTTTAGGGTTTAGGGTTTAGGCGGTAAGCCTTCCCTGGAGTCCGGAATCCTGTGCACTTTACAGGACATGCAATAGGAGCTCTTCTAGGAACCCCAACTTGAACCCTGAAAACACACCGGAAACACTAAAAACTAGACCCTAAACCCTAAACCCAAAAACCCTAAACGGAACTCTTGTAGGAAGCCTGAAATTACACCCGAAAGCCTAAACCTCACAGCGTCTAAGCCCCTGAAACCCGACTGCTTTATAGGAACCCTACCCTGACTAGGGTTTGGGGTTCAGGTTTAAAGGTTTAAGGTTTAGGGTTTAGGATCTAGGTTTAAAGGCTTAGGGCTTAGGGTTTAGGGTTTAGGGTTTAAAGGTTTAGGGTTTGGGGTTTAAGTTTTAGGCTTAGGGGTTCAGGTTTAAAGGTTCAGGGCTTAGGATGACCCTAAGAAGAGCTCGGAAGATGGGGACTGCTATCAATGATATCTTTTCGGCACTCTTGCTGGGATCCACACCCCTCCCCTCTAAGTGCCAGTATGTAAACCCTCATAAACCCCAAGCCCTAAACACTCCCCCCTTGAGCACCAATCTGATAAAGGAACTCCGAAACCTCTAAGGTTCCGGGACCCTAAACCCTAAACCCTAAAACCCTAAACCCACATTTCGACTAGAGTGCGCTGAGCCCAGGCGTGGCTGACAAACCAAAACGGGCTGGCCTTCATGGCTTTGGTTTTAGGGCTCAGGGTTGGAATTGAGGTCTACAATATGGTATTATATAGTATCAGAGAGTTATATACTCTAAAATACCTCTAATATGGTGTGATACAGTAGTATATACTATACTATAACATGACTAGTGTTTGAGGTTTGGGGTTCAGGGTTTCAGGTCGAAGATTTCGGGTTCAGCTTGATTTCAGGGCCAAATCTGTTCCCCGTCCTGCCGCAACTGCAGCAGCAACTGAAGTGATGATAAGTGCTAGCTTCAACTTCAACATATGGGCAGTTCTCTGAGCCGTTTTAAATGCCAAACATAGTACGGCACTCTTCTAAAAGGAACCCAAAACTGGACCCTAGTCTAGAGAACTACCCATATCTAAGATGACGAAGTCATGAAGAACCCCAGTTGGAGAACGGAGTGGTGGTCTCAGGGTTTAGGGTTTAGGGTTTAGGGTTTAGGGGTTTAGGGTTTAGGGGTTTAGGGTTTAGGGGTTTAGGGTTTAGGGTTCAGGGTTTAGGGAATCTTTGAAGCTAGGGTTTAGGGTTTAGGGTTTAAGGCTAATTTCGGAATCTGGATTCATGGTGTTCAAATGGTCAGAATGCTTAGATAGATTGCTGAGCGCTTCGGCCTAATCCCGAATCGTATCCTCAACCCTGACCTCTGAAGCCTCAACCCCCCCGGCCAAAAACTGCAGAACCCTGACAAAAAGGGATTAGAGCTTAGGGTAAAACCCTCAAAAGAACCTTCTCAAAAATCCAAATCTCTGCTTCTAGCTCTCAATGCCTTCTGCCGCGGGAAAAGCTCAGAGAAGGAGCACCGATGCTCCTGCCGATTCAGGCTCTATATCAGGGGCATAACTCATCAGAAGAGGGTTTTGGTTAGGCCAGGTAGGCTATCTTGTCGTATAGACTTATGAGAACTACTCGGGTCTAGCACGGTTAATGATATAAATCCCGCATTATCCATAATGAGGAATAAACCAGAATTCCCATAGTTTAGGGTCCGTATAGTAAACCCCAAATAGTTGGAAACCGGATTAAGGACAAATCGTGCTGGGATTCTTTATTCATTACTCTGAAGGAGTGAGGCTATTGGGTTTCCAAGTTTTGGGCATTACCTGCAGGATTGATATCATCAACAGTATTACTACATTAGGCATTGAGGATTTGAGGTTTCTGGGTTTAGGATTGAGCATTGAGACAGAGATCGGGTTTCAGGGCTTTAAGTTCAGGGTTTAACGGCTCCGGGTCCATGAAACGATATAGGGACCTTCGTCAGTTTGAGATGGAGCTTTTGGGGATATACTGATATACTATATAATACTATACCTAAAATCAGGAACTCCTAGGAAAAAGATAACGAACTAAGTATTCCGAAACCTAACTTTGGGTGTTTGATGTAGTTTGTGTGATTCGAGTCCGGGATCTGGATTTGTGCGGTGGGTTTCCCGGGCCTGCAAACTCAGAGACTCCAACAAAAAAACAAGGAATAGACCTTCAAAATCAATCCGAGAATCCCTCGCCCGAAGAGTCGATCCCAAACCCAAAACATCTACAGAACGCTAGAACCTGTGTACTATAGGGGACTTAAATAATTACCAACACTACTTGGAATTCCTTACCATAAACATGTCAAAATCTAATCCAAAACCCCTTTCCAATTATTAAGGCCACCACGTTATAGAACCCTATAGGTAACCTTATAGTATCCCTTTTAAGGAACCCCTTTCAGGAACCCTATTCTCTGTATTCAAGCCTCCATATTGGAACCCTTAGTTAGGAGGAGTTTTGGAGTTTCAGCAAGAGCGCGAAGGAAAGGACCAAGTCCTTGGTGGCGGGCTTTACCTGGCTCGAAGGTACTACGGGAAAGCTAGCATATCACGGTGGGATTTTCTTGCTCAAGAACCCAAATCCCCAAACCCATCCTATCGGAACTTTTCCAACCCCTATAAAACTCCCCATAAAACAGGCGAAATGAAAGTTTATGTACTCAGCCCTAAACCGGGCTCCCAAAGCCCTATTCTAATTGTTAAGGCCCCTATATTATCAGTGCCCTTACTGGTTAGACTAGGGTGTTAAAGGGCTCGGGTTCTAAACCCCTAAACCCTACACCCAACAACGGTATCAAACTCCGAAACCCGAAGCCCCGTGAACCCTAAATCTCAGACCCTAAGCCCTAAACCCCTACTTGGAGGTTCATGGGTAGTTATAAGGCTCCCTTTCAGGGATCTGTAAGGGGGTTCTATAAGGGCTCTATAAGGGGTCCTATAAGGGGTCTATAAGGGGTCATACTTGGAGGTTCATGGGTAGTTATAAGTAGGAACCTATAGGGTTTAGGATTTAGGGTTTACGGTGAAGGGGTAGTTATAAGTAGGGTTGTAAGTAGGATAACTAAGAACGCCACTAAACCGTCCCTAGTGAAGCAACCCCCACATCAAGTCACCTTACCAGGAAGCCTACTTCAAGGATCGTAGGAGTTGCTAGATAGAGTTATAAAGTACCCTAGTTGGGGTTATCAATGCTTAGATGTAGAGTTGACCCTGAACCGTATGTGCTAGTTTAAAAAGTGAAACAGATTGAAAGCGTGCATTCCGTTTTTTGGGGGACAAACTCCTAAAGCCACCCAAATCCTAAAAACCCCTAAACTAAACCCTGAACCCCAAAACCCAGAGCAAACCCTAAACCCTCAAGCCTGAACTAAACCCCAAGCCCCAAAAAGCACAAAAAAACCTGAGCCCTGAACTCCCTAAACCCTAAACCCTAAACCCTCAAGTGCCCAGTGACGAGCCAGAGGCCCAGGTGGTGAAAGTTGAGGATCTCCGTCGTCAGCATCTCCCCAGCCGAGGGGGAGACCTCGAGAAGCAGTCGAAGGTTCAGGGTTTAGGGTTTATGTAGGGTTGAGGGTTCAGGATTTAGGATTCAGGGTTTAGGGTTTATGGTTCTTAAGGTAAGGCGGATATATATCATCAACAGTAGGATGATGGCTGATGGGTTTGGCAGTCATTTTACTACTTTCGATGTTAGGATGCCGGGTCGGAGACTTGGGTCTGAGATGTTACGATGTAAAGTTTCGGGTATGTGATAATAATTTTGCGTAATCTCCAAGCCCTACTTTAGGGTTTAAGGCTTAGGGTTTAGGATTTAGGGATTAAGGTTTAGGGCTTAGGATTTAGGGTTTAGGGTTTAGGGCTTGGGGTTTAGGGTTCTACACTGTAAGCCCTGAGCCCAGAGTATCAGAACAGGGCCATGCTTCAGACAGCCGGTATTCATTCTCAACGTCCTTTGTTGGCGACCAACCGGCCACCCCTTCTGAGAACAGCGCGGAGTCGAACCCAGGCCCTTGCTCACTGCCAGAGCGGGCGGCGTCGCGACCGCAGAGAGTGTGTGCCTCCCCAAGAGTGTCCATCCTTGCTCCTGCACCCTGTAAGGACCCTTGTCAAACACCCTAACAACAGGAACATGCACCAGAAAACCTTGAAAAACCTT